CTCAACAAGAAACTTGCTAGGTCAGTTTAGGAAGAGTCCCCCCGACTCTATATCTGACCAAATTCCTCACTCCCTCGACCCCCAGGTGATGCCTCATCTCCCTGGCTTGTCTTCAGCAAGAATCTGGTCAAGTTGCTTTAACCAGAAGTATCCTGCCACCCAGAATTACCTCTTGGTAATTTTTCCACCGGCTCCTCCAGCCTGCTCCTTGGCTATAAAAGCCCCACTCTCCATATTGTATTTGGAATTGAGCTCAGTTTTATACTGAGGTCTCTTTCCCCCTATCGCAATAGTTCCTGAATAAAATCTGTTGTTAATGCTACTGCTGGGCTCTGGTTTTCTTTAACACATCACGCTGACACATTCTTATTCTGAGTCTCTCCTTTTGCTAGAATCCTTGCATGTTGCTACCCTGTGTCCACCTTTTCCTTCTCTAGTGGTAATATGACAAGGGGTAAATCCATGCCCGGGGCCCCGGAAGCTGAGCAGCAAAAGCATGCCATCCAGAGTGTGTGTTTTAACATGGCAAGCTGGACAAAACCAGACCCTTAATTAGGGAACACAATGTACATTATTACACAGGTCCCCACTGGCCAGAACACAATTGTGACTGGGCCCCAGCATAGTGCAGAGGGAGAGGGAGAGCTGGGGCGTAGAGCTTGGGAACACACAGAGGCTTTGTCTGAGTGGCCGGCAGCTTAGCTGGTATCATAATCCTCTGTTTACCATTGAAAGCTGGGCACTGTGTAGTTAAAAATGTATAAGATCAAGGTCAAAGTCTTGGATGAGACAGATTTGTTCTGAAAGTGAAGATTGAAGGACAAATGAGAAACCATTTAGGTTTGTTTCTCTCCGGTTTTGATCAGTTCATTGGTAAATACCATCTTACAATAATTAGATGGTCTTACCGCTACTTATAAAACTCCCCCCCGACTTGTCTTTTATTCTTTTAATCAAAAAACAACTTTTACAGCACATATTTTGATACATAATTTGTTAAGGAAACAATGATTGTCTAATTGTGGATATGATTTTATGTATCTTTCAGTTTTTAGGTGAAATATGGGGATGTCCTTATCTCACCAATCGCTTTCCTAAGGTAACTTTCTTCCATAGATAATTTACTCATTTTACACTAATTTTCAGTAATCCCCCTAACAAAATGTTTGCCATACTCTAACCCATTGTATGCTTGACTCTCTATGTGCTGATATAAAATGGTATTATGTCTGACTGCTAATGAGTCTGGGTTTATTTTTAGTGTGATGAAAATATTATAGAATTAGGTAGTGGTGATGCCTCCACAACCTTGTGAATATACTAAAAATCTCTTAATTTTACACCACAAAATTGTGACTTTTATGGTATGTAAATTATTATTTCAATAAAAACAATTACTTTGTGTTTTGTTTAAAAGTGGCAGGTTGGGGCGTCTGGGTGGCTCTTTCGGTTGAGTGTCTGACTCTTGATTTCGGCTCAGGTCATGATCTAAGGTCTTGAGATTGAGACCCACAAGTGTCTCTGAGCTCAGAGGGGAGTCTGCTTAAGATTCTCTCTCTCCCTCTCCCTTTGCCCCTCCCCCTGCTTGTGTGCGCGCTCTCTCTCTCTCTTTAAAATGAATACATCTTTATAAAAAAGTGGCAGGTTGGGGGTGCCTGGCTGGCTCAGTTGCTGAAGCATGCGACTCTTAATCTTGGGATTGTGGGTTTGAGCTCCACGTTGGGTGTAGACATTACTTAAAAATAAAATACATTTTTTAATGTATTAAAAAAAAGTGGCAGATTAACTACACATGCTTATTTTATCTATTCTCCCTTCCAAAAAAATTATTAAAATTATTAATTTTATGTTAATTATATTTTAAAGTATATTTTAAAAAAGTAAAGAATTAAATATTTTTTTCCAGAGGGTCAGTAGAGAATTTTTTAAAGGCTTTGGCCCCCCCAAGAAAAGGAGACACCAAAAAGTGAGAGATTATAACACATTTTGGGGACATAGAGAGTGGATGGAGGATGGTAAGTGATTTGGCAGAGTGGGGGAAATTCCAATTTAAGTGCTTTCAGGGGCGATGCTCCAAAAATGCGGGGCAAAAGTATGTGCTACTGGGCATGGCAGGAAGCAGGACAAAGGCCTGGTGAAGCCAACATTCCTAATGGGTTTCAAGGTTCACTGCACCAACTTGGTCTGGTCACTGGAGGTTTATTATGGAGAAATTTCCAGACTTAGAATCTGTGGAGAGAAGAGGAGAGATGGGCAGGGCTTGGAAAGGGGACACATCCACACAGTCATATGGTCTCTTGCCTCCCCAATCACAGAATCAGTAGCAAGATGTTCAAACTCCCGTACCTTCCCTACTCCTTCCAGACTGGAAAGCAGATTACTCTTTCCTGAAAAAACTGAATGACTCTAGGGGAAAATCTTCCAGCTACTTAGATTTTGAGGTCTGCTCACATTAAAGCCAGTATGGCTGCCCATTCCACCACTCATCAACAAGCCCTGTGCTTGTACTTGGAGCATCCAGTCACCTCTTGGATGTCTAACAGACAGAAAAGGACAGTGAAAGATCACCAGACAAAGGAAAAGGCTTTCAACAAGAAGGGGAGAGATGAAAACAAAAGAAGGATGAAGGAAACTGGGGTAAGCTCACTAACTCGATTCAAGGAACAAAGCTAACAAAGAAGCAAACAAAACAAAAAGTAAGCAACCCCCCACACAGTACAATTACTATTTTCTTAGAGTTCAGAGAAAAGACTATGTGCTTTGAAAAAGGGAAAGTCAGCAAATAAGAATGAGGTCTTAGACTTTAAAAATCTGATTCCAAAAGAAAATATAAAATTCAGTAGGGGGTAGATAGTGAATAAAGGTAGAACTAAAAATCAAAGAACTGGAAGTTTCCTAGAGGGAAGAATGAGGAAAAATTTAGAGGATCAATTTAGTCTTCTGTCATTGCTTTTCAATAGCCGACTAATAAAAGTTTTCAGACAGAAGCAAGAAAATGAAAGGGAATAAATTAATGAAAACAACAGAAAAATTACAGAATAGAGTGTTATAAATTTCCAAGGGATAATGATCTACCAAGTGCGGATAAAAAAAGACTCACACTGAAGGACTGGGGGACTTTTAGCACAATCGGGATAAAATAAGATCTTGAACATTTCCAGAGATTTTTAAAAAATCACAGAAGAAGGGGAATCTGCAAGTTCTAGAACTTCTCAACAACAGCACTGGAGGAAGAAAAAAATAAAAACAATACAGCCAGAGTTCTGAGGAACTCTAATTTTCAATCCAGAATTCTATACCCAGACAAACAGGCAACCAAGTGGTGAGAATAGAATAAAGCTGTTTTCAGGCATTCAACACTCAAAAACATTCACTATAAATATGTATGTCTGTGTGTGCATGTGTGTCTCCTTTCAAGGGAGGTTAACTAGAGGATGTGCTTCAGGAAAATGAGGGAGCAAACCGAAAATGAGAATGATATGGGATCCAGGGCACAGGTGATCCATTACAGCAAAGCAATGAAAGGAAGTCCCCACCCTGCACTGGCTTTGAGAGCATCCAGTCTCAAAACAGAACATGAGAACAGAGAATTACAGAAGACAATAGATGGAAATGATTATTTGATGTATTGGAATGCTTGAGAAAATTATTGGTAGATATTTGAGAGGTCTGTTAGAATATTTGGAAAACAATGAATGACACATAAATAAACAACTAAGCAAATTAAAATAAAGAAATGAAAGCAAAAACAGGACGACTATTAACTCCAGGAAAAACAAAGTTGTAAAGAGAAAGGAAATAATCATAGTTGATCAGAAGTTTCTGTAGGAAATATTTACGTATTTATAGGAATATAGATACTGAGATAATTGCATTCAGTGGGTGAAGGAGACCAGAGAGCAAAAAGTAGAGACTAAAAAACCCAAATCCTCATCAAGAAGCCAAAAGCCTACAATAAATAAGTACATAAATGGCTGATTGTGGAATTATTTAGCAATGTGGAAATAAATATAGAAAAAATAGCATAAAGTTAAGTGTGGTTGCCTTCAGTGAGTGGGATTATGCCGTGGGGTGAGGTAACAAAAGGGGCTATTGTTTTGCAACATAAGCCTTTAAAAATGGGGTATAGTTGACATACAACATAAGTCTTTTAATGCCATTACATAATAACATTGTGCATGTATTATTTTGATAAATACAAAAACTAATTAAAATAGTACTTATAGGGACCATGGTGTATTGGTTTGCTAAGGCAGCTGTAACAAATTACCACAAACCGGTGGCCTAAGTAATAGAAATGTATTTTCTCACAGTTCTCAAGGCTAGAAGTCTGAGATCAAGGTGCCAGAACGGTTGCTTTCTTCTGAGGCCGGTTCCAAATCTCTCTCTGTGACTTGTAGATGACTATCTCTCCCCCATGTCTTCTCATTGTCTCCCCTCCATATGTGTCTCCATGTCCACATATGTGGGCCCTGGGTGAAGGGTGTGTGGTTTGGTGGGGTGAGCTGGTGTGTTGGTTTGGTTGGACATGGCATATGGTTTGATGTGTGGAGTTGGTGTGGAGTGTGCCTTGGTGAAGGGTTTAACATGGAGTGGATTATGTGGGATGTGGAAGGTAGGGGACTGAAATATGTGAGTGTGTGTAGAGATATAGTGTGGATGTGGATGTGTGTGTGTGTGTGTGTGTGTATGTATGGTATGGCAGTAGCTTAGCTTAGCTTTTGTTTAGATTTTCCTTTGCTCTTTGTTTTAGTCTTTGTTTTTGTCTTTGTTTAGCCTTTGTTTTGTCTTTGTTTCACTCTTTGTTTAAACTTTCTTTGGCTTTTGTTTGGTCTTTCTTTAGCCTTTTGTTTAAACTTTGTGTGGCCTTTTTGTAGTCTTTGTGTAGCTTTTGTTTTTAAGTGGATCTTGGCTGAGAACCCATCAAAAATACCTTGTGTAATGAAAAACCCGGATATATAATCTCTCCCTATATATTCTGCATGCATTGAGGTAGCCTCAACCCCCCCAGGGACCTGGTACCGATGTGGAGCCTGTTGCACACAACTGCTACTTGAAGGTAAGGGAATTCCATAGGTTTTCATCTAACTTCAGGTTGTACTTCATCTTCAAGTGGCAACTGCACATTTTTGTATGGGCCATTTCATTATATTCCAGGGGGATCTTGCTGAAATAGCAGTCAAGACTGGCAGAACATAAAATGATAGAGAAAACAAGAGCAGAGGACACCAAGTTTACTCTAATGTGAGCAGAGGGCTCCTTCCGGAATGTTCTGGCTAATGTTTGGGATTTGTCTGAGCCTTGGGAGAGGCTTCAAACCCTCACTAAGATTCTTTCAGGTTTAAAGCCTCATGTTTCTGGAGCTAGATTAGTGGAACTATTGGCTTCTTCTTTTTCTATTTCTTCTTTTATTATTTGTCATGATTTGAAAATGAGTTTTTTCTTTTTATCTAGGAACAACATCTTCCCTCACGCAGCTGGGTTTATGTGTGGGGGATACTAATGGAACAAGAAGGCCCAAATCTTGTTAGAATTTTGCTCCCTGTAGATTAGCAACCTTAGATGGAAAGACGTTAATGCTCTGTTTTGTGCAGAATTTCTTAGAAACCAGAGTTTCCCAGTGTTATGGTGGGTGGAACAAGGAAAGAAAAGATTATGTGTCAAGGGAATAAAGCAATGAACTTGGCTGGAATACTAGGAGAAAAATAGGGAAAATAATTTTTACTGTTTTGAAACAGGAAGAAAAAAACAGATTGCTGTTAGCTGTGTATCTGTGCTATTTTATGTTTATTTAGATTAACAAGAGAATGCCTTAGTGGATTTTATTTTTTATTTATTTATTTTTAAAGATTTTATTTATTTATCTGACAGAGAGAGAGAGAGCACAAGTAGGCAGAGTGGCAGGCAAAGGGAGAGGGAGAAGCGGGCTTCCCACTGAGCAGGGAGCCCGATGAGAGGCTCGATCCCAGGACCCTGGGATCATGACCTGAGCCGAAGGCAGATGCTTAACGACTGAGCCACCCAGGTGCCCGCCTTAGGGGATTTTAAAAATTGTTTCAGAGGCACCTGGCTGGTTCAGTCAGTGGAGCATGTGACATACGATCTCGGGGTCATGAGTTCAAGGCCCATGTTGGGTGTGGAGCCTACTTAAAAAAAATTGTTTCAGGTTTGCAGAAAAATTGCAAACTGTACAAAAATTCCAAATGTACCCAGATCACCCAAATGTTGACATTTTATCACATTTGCTTTATCATTCTCTTTCTCTGTATACATGTAAACATATTATTTTTTTCTGAGCCATTTGAGATTAATTTTCAGATATGATCAAAATCAGAAAACCAGTGTTAGGAAAATACTGTTATCTCATCCAGATCCGTCTAGGTTTTGTCAACGGTTCCAGGTATCAGTCCCAGATCATGCATCACTTTGGTTACCATGTGTCTTTAGTGTCCTTTATTCTGGAAAACACCTGAGATGGGCATTCTCTTTTATGATCTTGACAAGTTTAAAGAGTATAGGCCCGTTATTTTGTTAAATGTCTCTCGGTTTGGGTTTAGTCTGATGTCTTCCCATGATTAGGTTCTGATTATGCAGTTTCAGAAGGAATATGCTTGCATTTCCTTCCATACATCTCCAAATTCATACTTGAATCTGACTGTACAGACTTTTAACTTGAAGTCTGGTTTCTCTAATGGTAACTAGAATTTTTAAATGAGTACCTAAAACCTTACAAGAAAATACAAAAAATTTAAAATCCAGAGCTTTTACCGATAATTCCCAAGTATTCACCAAAAGTGTGTAAGTGCTGCCCTTTTATTAAAAATGATAATTGCAACAATATGTACATGAACTTGATAGGCATACAGTGAAGTATTTATTTTTTTAAAGATTTTTTTTAAGATTTATTTATTTATTTTGAGAGAGTGAGAATGAGAGAGAGAGAGAGAGAGTATATGAGAGGGGGGAGGGTTAGAGGGAGAAGCAGGCTCCTCGCTGAGCAGGGAACCCGATGCGGGACTTGATCCTGGGACTCCAGGATCATGACCTGAGCCGAAGGCAGTCGCTTAACCAACTGAGCTACCCAGGCACCCCTTTTTTAAAAGATTTTATATATTTATTTGACAGAGAGACACAGCGAGAGAGGGAACACAAGCAGGGGGAAGTGGGAGAGGGAGAAGCGGGCTTCCCACTGAGCAGGGAGCCTGATGCGGGGCTCGATCCCAGGACCCTGGGATCATGACCTGAGCCGAAGGCAGACGCTTAACGACTGAGCCACCCAGGTGCCCTACAGTGAAGTATTTAACATAGATTTTTTGCATGTGTTAGATTCATGTCTACTGCTCTATGAATGTTCATTTCATGAATGTGATCATTCCTTTCTAAGCAAAACCATCTGCTGAAAACAGATACCGTTCACAAAAGAGTGGTCCTGGATAGCCACTTCAGCCTCCCTGGCGAACTTTAGCATGTTGGCAAAGTGTCAAGAAAAGACATTTGTTTGTATCCATTTTGTTTGTAAGTTGGAAAACTTCTGTTTGGAGGTGGCTGGCAGTTTTATTGTTCTGAAGGTAGAGACCAGCTTCCAAGCAGACTTCCTTTGCTTTGGGAAAGTTATCAAAATAGATTCTTAAGATTTCCAAATACAAAACATCCATTTTTTTCCCCCTAGAGGAAACACCAAAGTCATCATAAATGTAAATGTAGGGCAGTTGGTTAACTTGTTATATGACCTTTGTAGTCAAGTAAATGTATTATGGCTTTAATAGGACTGCTCCCTGGATGAGGTAGATAAATATTTTCTTTTCTGAATATGGAATTAGATTAGAAATTTGGAGTTCTGCACATGTTACTATTTAATGTTGAGAAACTCAGCTTTTGGGAAAATGTAGCATTAGCTATTTTGATTGCCTTATCTAGTCCATAGACATCACCCCAGAGTTTGAGAAAGTGCCTTTTACTTAAAGGAGATGATGAGCCATCCTGGGTTGGAAAATGAGGGTCTCCTTTTGTGACTCAGCCAAAAGAATTGGGGGCCAGGACATGGAAGGTTTGGAAGATCAGAAGAGTCTTGCGGATGGTAATTGAGTTGTTTTCATATCCTGGAAGTCTGCTGGGGTGGGCTGGGACCCTGGGATTAGGTTCCATTGTGTAGGCTCCAAAAGTGACCTCTTTTATTGACTTTGCAGGCCTCTCTGGTTTCTGTTGCTCTGTTACCCTGAGTGCATTAGGTAAACCTGGTGATGTTAGCTGTGCTCTGGGTGGTTAAAAGACCAATCTGTTTTAAAATGTACTCAGAATCTTGTTTTCATTCATGCATGATGAGGGCAGCAGATCAGAAGATGATTGCCGTTGTTACTCACAGTTCCCAAAAGGAGGTTGCATGCCTGACCATGCAGGGCCATGTGAGGAAGCACTGGGATTGATCGGGAGCTAGAGCGAATGAGGGGAAAGCACGGGCAAGAGCTTTATTGTGTGTTTTTGTTTTGTTTTGTTTTGTTTTGTTTTGCAGGAAGGACTGTGTGAGATGAGGTAAACAGATTAGGTAAATTTTAGGACGAGCTAGTTTGAATAATTTCAGTGGGTTCTGGGATGTAAGGGCTATCCTGAGTTGTCTGTTTCCTGGTCTTGGGGTGATTAGGACAGAGGAATGTTGGACTTAATCTGTGGGACCTTGATAAAAAGGGTAATTGGCAAGTGTAGGCTCTGGATTGGTTGGTTTGCATGTGAAAGGCACGCTCTTAGGGGTCTTAAGGTCTTAGGGCTCTTAGGGTTTGCTGTCCCTAGGAATTAGCTAGCCTGGGGAGAGGCAATGTCTCCAGGATCAACAGGTGCCAGGGTATCAAGAATACAGAAAAGAAAATATAGTTAATACATAGCAGCCACATTTGGAGTGAATGGGCAGGGGAAAATAGGGCAGCATTCAGACTCTGAAGCAATAACATTTAAGACCTCGGACATCTGATGCAGACAGGTTCATGGAATGTGTATCTATTTCTTATGCCAGTTCAAAAGTTAATTATGAAGATAGATGGGTTTTCAGTGATGCACAGCAGTGAGGATATTCATTTTATATTGCTGTGTAACAAATTACTACAAACTGAGTGTGTTAAAACCATGCCCATTTATTAGCTCACAGTTCTGTAAATCAGTTGTCCCGTTGTCTTGCTTAGGGTCTTACAAGGCTGAAATAAAAATGTTGGCTGGCTAAGCTCTTACCTAGAGGTTCTGGGGGAGAATCTACACCCAAGCTCATTCTAGGTGTTGGCAGAATTCACTTCCACATGGCTCAGGTCCCTGGGCCCCTCATTTTCAGGTCAGCAATGGTGGGTTGAACTCTTCTCATGCGTCAAATATCTCTGACCTCTTCCTTTGTCATATTTCTTTGATTCCAGCCAGAGAAAATTCTTGGCTTTTAAGGACTCACGTGATTAGATTGGGCCCACCCAAATAATCCAAGACAATCTCCCTATTTTAAGGAATATCTGCAAAGTTTCTTTTGCCATGTAAGATTACCTAATTCATAGGTGTCATCAACTAGGATTTGGAAATTGCTTGGGAGGGCCATGTTGCCTACCACAGAGGGTTTATGATTAAATGTTGAGCACTTGGTTAAGGTGGTATTTGCCAGAATCTCCATTATAAAATTACAATTTTTGTTTTCGTTTTTTTTTTAAGATTTTATTTATTTATTTTAGAGAAAGAGAGAGAGAGAGATTGGGGGGGAGGAGCAGAGGGAGAGACATAAGCAGACTCCATGCTGAGCACAGAGCCCGATGCAAGGCTTGATCCCAGGACCTCAAGATATGACCTGAGCTGAAATCAAGAGTCAGATGCTTAACCGACTGAGCCACCCAGGTGCCCTGTTTTTAATTAATAAATATTTATTGGGAGGGGAATATTTTGAGAGTATGCAAGTACGTTGTTTCTCCTTAAGCTTTCACATGCTATATTTACCATTCATTAGTGAATATTGCTTGCAAAAATTGTTACTGTGGTATTCTTATGATGATTTTCTATTTCCTTCCTTGATTCTACATTTACTAATTGGAATTATTCCTTTCTTTCTTTTTTTTTTTTTTAGAGACAAAGACGTGGGGGAAGGGCAGAGGGAGAAAGAGAGAGAGAATTTTAAGCAGGCTCCATGCCCAACATGGAGCCCACCGTGAGGCTTGATCTCACAACCCTGAGGTTATGACCTGAGCTGAAATCAAAAGTCTATGGTTAAACGACTGAGCCACCCCAGTGCCCCAGAATTATTCTTTAAGAAGAGTTTCTCTTCATTTGCTTTTATTTTTTATATTCCACATATAAGTGAAATCATATCACATTTGCCTTTCTCTCTGACTCATTTCACTTAGCATAATACCCTCTAGATCTATCCATGTTGTCACAAATGACAAGATCTCATTAATTTTTATAGCTGAGTAATAGATCATTATATGGATATGAACATACCACATCTTCTTTATCCATTCATCTAACAAGGGACACTGGGGTTGCTTCCATATCTTGGCTATTGTAAATAATGTGGCAATAAACAGGAATGTATATATTTTTTCAAATTAGTGTTTTCATTTTCTTCAGGTAAATACCCAGTAGAGGAATTACTGGATCATATTATATTTCTATTTTTAACTTTTTTTTTAAAGATTTTATTTATTCATTTGAGACACAGAGATAGAGAGAGAGAAAGCATGAGCAGGGAGAGAGGCAGAGGGAGAGGGAGAAGCAGGCTCCTCACTGAGGGGTCTTAAGGTCCTTAGGTCCTTAAGGTCCTCCTTAACCTGTGGAGCCTGATGTGGGGCACGATCCCAGGACCCCGGGATCATGACCTGAGCTGAAGGCAGACGTTTAACCATCTGAGCCACCCAGGCGCCCCTCTATTTTTAACTTTTTGAGGAACCGCCATACTGTTTTCCGTAGTGGCTGCACCAATTTACATTCCCACCAACGGCGCACAGGTGTTCCCCTTTCTCCACATCCTCACCAACACTTGTTGTTTCTTGTCTTTTTGATACTAAGCATTCTAACTGGTGTAAGGGGATATCTCATTGTGGTTTTGATTTGCATTTCCCTGATGACTAGTGAGGGTGAGCATCTTTTCATGCATCTTGTTGGCCATCTGTATGCCTTCTTTGAAAAAATACCTATTCAGGTCCTCTGCTCATTTTTTAATTGGGTTATTCTTTTTTTTTTTTGGTGTTGAGTTGCACAAGTTCTTTATGTAATTAGGATATTAACCCCTTATGGGTGTTGACCAAGAAAAAAATTCACTGAAAATTTAAGCAAAGAAGCATATATTTGGGCAATTTGAATTCCAATTCCAGAGACACAGATTTAGGTAGAAACCTGAATTATGTTCACAGGAAGACAAAGAGAGGGCAGGGTTATCAATGCAAAAGCTTACAAGTGCACTTCTCAGTCAGGGCTGTTTGGCAAAACAGGGATTGAAACTAGGTCCACTGGGTTTGGTTGTGTTAATATACAAATAAGGGATTGAAACTTGTCAAATCTCATTGGTTCCTTCTGAAGTGAAGAATGGAAGAGTCAGGTGTCACAGTGAGGAGGGAGTTAAGTCTAGGCCCGGGGCTTGTAGCTGGCAAAAGTTCATAGTTTCTTGAGGAGCATGTGCCTAAACTCCTTCTTCCATATGGCCTCCTGACCCTATTTTATTCTATTTTAAGGATTTTATTTTTAAGTAATCTCTACACCTAACATGGGGCTCGAACTTACAACCCCAAGATCAAGAGTCGCATGCTCTACTGACTGAGCCAGCCAGGGCCCCCCACTCTATTTTAAAAGAGACTCTCTTAGCTAAGCTTGCTTGCTCTATCTTGAAATCTTGTTTTACACCAGATAGATATTTGCAAATATCTTCTCCCAATCAATTTCATTTTGTTGATGGTTTGCTTTGCTATACGAAAGCTTTTTATTTTAGTGTAGTCCCAATAGTTTATTTTTGCAATTTATTTAAAAAATTAATTTAAATTTAAAAAGAACATGCTCATCTGGGATTTGACAGAGAAATCTTACAATAATTTTTACAGTTAGCAATACAGAGCTGTCAATTGCCTCATTATTACTACGATTAGTTATCAACTAATACAAATTATCAACTAAGACAACTGTGATATTGTGATTTATAAGGAATATATATATTTGGTCATGTGAATGATTTCTGTTGTGTGTTTGGTCTTTGTCAATGGTTTCTAGCTCCTAAAACCTTTGAAGTTTCCTACAAGGGCATAAAGGCATCTTGTGTTATGTTAATTAGATGAGTTTGGAAAGCCCTTAGGTAACATAAGGATGGGTGGCAGGGTGCCAGGAGAACCAACCATGTGGTTAGAGGGATGGAAATCTCAGTCCTACTCCCTGACCTCTTGGGAGGGGAGAGAGGTTGGAGGTTGAATTGACTAAGGCCAGGGACTTAGTCAATCACGACTGTGTAATGAAATCTCCATAAAACCGCAAAGGTTTGGAGAACTTCTGGGTTGATGAATGCTTGGAGATGCAGGGACAACCATGTGGCTGGAGAGGGCATGGAATCTCCTTCTCCTTTCCCCAAACCTCATCCACCATCCACCGTATCTCTTCACCTGGCTGTTGATAAATGTTTCCCTCAGTTCTGTGAGCCACTCTAGCAAATTTAAGAGAACTTAAGAAGGAGGTTGTTAAAACCTCCAAGCTGCAGCCCATTGGTCAGAAGCATAGGTAACAGCCTGGGGTTTACCACTGGCCTGGATTCTGAAGTGGGGTGTGGAAGGCAGTCTTGTGGGATGGAACTCTTAACCTGTGGAATCTGATGCTATTTCCAGACAGATAGTGCCAGAACTGAGTTGAATTCCCTGACACCCTGCTGATGTCCCAGAATTGCTTGGTGCTGTGTGTGTGATGGCGGGACACACCCATCCCCCACAACATTGGAATTGGGTCCAGGAACATTAAAAGAACAACTAATCAGAATGACAGGTTTCTTTTGCAGGTTATTTTTGTATCTAGAAGACCTCTTTGTTCAAACAACACTTCCAAGATCTGATGTATAGTAAGAAAGAAGGGGACAAGTGGTTACGGATGGCTACAAATCTCCATATTGCATGGGAAAACAAGATTGATATTGTGAAATTCTCGATTTAATGCCCTATCAAATCGGATTCCTTCCTTGAGTTTTTAATGTAAAAACACGCATCTCTCTTCCAGAGCTGTATGGAATTCCAACTCCCTTCTTTCCTTAAGGGATGCTTTACTTAATTGCTATGACTTGCATTTTTAAAGCCAGACTCTAAAATTTCATTTATTTTAGGACTTTCATTCATTAGTGTTATAAGCAAAAATCAGATTTGTAGAGCTCAGATTTACTAGGAGAAATGATTAAAGAGTGCTTACTTAATTAAAGCTTACTTAATGTCAGTGAATTACCTGGACACATAGCATTTCTCCTCTATAATGATAAGATGGTCTTTAGAGGTTTGCATGAGATTTTGTTCTTATATTCTCTCCCTAACTCCCAAATGACAGATAACATCTAAATTAAATGTCATAATCCTTCCTAGGATGGTGAGAGTGAAGCTCTGTGTATAATACTTTTGGATTAACTACAACTTAAATAACCAAAAATGCTAAATTAACCAGAACACATTCTACTGCTTCACTTTTAGGAAAAAAAGGAGCAAATGATACCAAGACAAGCTCATAACAGAGATCTAATCACCAGATGTGTACGGATGAAAATACAGGTACAAATGAGTTTCTTATACTCTTTTGGATCTGCATCTAAATTATTGTATAATGATTACTAGTATTCAAAATGTCAAAGTAGAATGCCGAATCAGCAAAAGACTGAGCAATCAAACTTTCAATAAGAGTTAAACACTTTAGAAAAACTTATTCCAGATGTTTCACAGTATCCTGGGTTTTGGAAGGTAGAAATATGAAACAAACAAACAAACAAACAAAACACAACCATTTCTCTGCATCAGAGGGATAATGACCTCAGCCACCATTTATCCATTTTGGCAAACTCATGTACTATGCATGGGGGAAAAGCCATTGCCCCATGGCTTCAAACCCTACTTAGGAGATTCCTTCTATTTCTTTGTCTCAACTGAACCCAGACAGTCTTCTGAAGGCTTCATCTTTCAGCTTGTCAAATGGGGGACATTTATGCTCCAAGTGGCTCCAAAGTTTAGTGGACCAGTGTCCTCCCCATTGCCACTCTCAGGCCACTACTCCCCTCTCTAGCTGGTCTTCTGTACTTTGAAGCTTGTGCTCCATTCCTTGTGCCAATCTTCACCTGACCTCCAGTCCCACCTCCTCCACCAATGCTTCTGTGGTCAGCCTCCCCACCCCCTCCACTCCAACTCCATCCATCAGCGTACGTAACTTTAATGTCCCTATGAGTGAACTATTCACCACTCCAGTGAATTACCCACTTTGCCTCATCTATCCATTGCATGCTATGGAACTTGGCAATACTCAAAACTACTCCATTTCTGAATCTAATGGTGCAAACATCTAGCATTCATCCACAACCTTCCTTTCCTTCAACTTGCTTTAAGTACTGGACTACAACTATTCTTCCACGAGGTACTTCGAGTTGACTTTCCCTTCCATTTCTCTATCCTTTTATGAATCTATTCATCAATCGCTCCTTTCTACCTATTTTCTTTCTATTACTGGTAGATTCTGGAATCCATCTTTTCAATTATTTTCCTGCAAATTCTCTCCCAACCCTAGATGACCCATATGTCTTCTCCCTGTCTGCACCCTGGCTGTGGAGAACAACTGGGGAAAAACACAGTGCAGCAGACTGTTACCACTACACATTAATGGTCAGTGACCCGACCCAGGCCATCATTACTACCTGGCACCTTGGTCCTCAAAAGTTTACAAAATCTCTTTTAAACCCGTTTTTTTCTTTCCAAATTTCCAACTTTGTCATTCTCAGGTATGTTTGTTTCCCATTTCACTGGAAAAATGGAATCCATTAGATAGAAATTTCATACAGCCAACTGTTTTCCCTCTTCCAACAGAGGCTAACCCTTCTGCATGTGTTCTGTACTACATCTCCTCAGGGTTTTCTCAAGCATCCTAATTATTTTCTCTCTTATTTTATTTTAACCCTTCCTCTCAGCACTTACGCTGCTCTTATCTGTCTTGTTATAACAAAAAAATCAGATCAAGAAACCAACCAATCATCCCCCACCCCCAACCAAAAAAAAAGTCTGATGACCACATACTCCTCTAGCTAGCCTACAGTGTCTCTCCATATCTTCAGCCACTATTCTCTTCACAAACCCTCTAATTTACCTTCTGTCTCAACCACTCCATAGAAACAGTTCTTGTCAAAGTCACCAGTTATCTCCAAATCACTTAATTCAATGTACTCTTTTTCTTTTCTTTTTTTTTTTTTAACTTTTATTTATTAAGTAATCTCTACCCCCAATGTGGGACTTGAACTCAAGACCCTGAGATCAAGAGTTGCACGTTCTACTGGCTGAGCCAGCCAAGTGCCCTTCAATGTACTCTTTATAGTCCTCATATCACACAACCTCTCAGAATCATCCCACCAAGTTGACCACTCACTATTTTGAAACCCTTCTTCCCTTTGGCTCTGAAAATACCACACATTCCAGTTTCCCTCCCCCACTCTGACTCTTCTCTTTACCCTTCGCCAAACACTCCTCCTCCAACTGCCCTGTAAATGTGGGAGGGCCCCCGAGCACAGTCCTACCCTCTCCTCACTCCACATTCTGCCACCAGGCAATCCCATCCATGCCCCTGGCTTCAATTGCTACCTATATGCCCAACAAATTAAATTCTGTCTCCTACCCAGACTTCTCTTTTGAATTGTTCACTTGACATCTCCATCTAGATGCCCCTCAAACACCTCAACCTCAAGGGCACCCAGAACTGAACTCCTGATTCAGCCTCTTCCCCTAAAGCTTTTCTTCTAGTAGATGCTTCCACCACTCACCTAGTTCCTTGAACTATATACCTTGGACTCATCCTTGACTCCCATTCCTGCTTCTTTGATTAGATGAATGATTTCAATATAATATAGTAAATATAAAGATGGAAGCATATAAATTGCAAAATGGAACAAAGATAAGTGACATTTCATCCATCTGAGGAAGTCTACCAGTGTAGCTGCCAGTGGGTGACTCAGACTGTGGCCTTGGACACAAAATTCAGGCAAAGGGGTAGTCAGCAATCCAGTGCTTATTTTCGCTTCTCTCTGGCTGGTTCTTTCTTTGTCTCCCTGAGACTGATGACTTTGGAGAACCCGGGGCAGCTTAGCATCTCTCACCTTCCCCGAGCTGTCAGTGGAGCAATAAGTCAGCCCATCAGGTAATCTAGGTTCCCCCCTTTGCCCCCTTGCTGTGACCATAGGCCAAATTAACATTTAGGTTTTTCTATAAGACAATGCAAATCTGGAAGATTGGTGTCCTGTACAGGGAAAAGGTGGGCAGGGACCAAATTACGAGGAGTCTTGTGTGACATATAAATTAAGAAGCACAGGACTTTGCTTTGTAACTGGGGGAAGCCTCTGAAGTTTTTGAGTCTGAAAATGGATACACGAGGAGACAAACTCATGCCTTTGGTTATTTCTCCTGGACCCTCCTGCCCCCTGTTTATAGAAAATTGTGGAATTATTCATCCATAAAAAATTCTGGTGTAAGTTCACCTATCCATACACTACACCAATGTATTGCATAATTTTTAGAAAAAAAGAATGTCATCTTATCAAAATTACATTCAGAAAATTATTGTACTTCTTACATGTTTATCTGGCCCCACTATAATCAAGGTTTTTACTCCCAAAACATTTGCTAAATATATTATCTATATGCTAAGGATACCAACCCTGGGTCACACTTGTTCCTTTTCCTATAATAGCTGGAGTCAGGTAGTTTGTTGTCAGAAAGGGCTCTGCACAAGTCTATGAGAGAGTGGACCACTGTACCGTGTCCTTGTTGCCTGGCACAAGGCAAAGCAACTGGGGCTTTGTTCTCTCTCCAGATGGGTTGTTCAACCCCTAGACAAATCGAGGCACTTTTATGCTGTTATTTTAAAGCCTCGGCAGCTCCCCATCTCAGTGCTGGAGCTTGGCAAGATGTTGCTCTCTGTTGAAAAGCACCCTGATTCCAAATAAATATCTGTATGAAATTTTCCATTACTTGGAACTGGGTTCCCAGTTCAAGAACCCACTGTTTAACATTCATTCCACTGATTTGTAAACATTTTGGTTGCTATGGAGATAGACAAATGGATAAATGTGGTCAAATGGATAAAGACATTCTTAGAGACCGCATGTAGTACACAACCAAAGTTTACTTCCTAGATGGAGTTTTGTGGTTGCGGAAGATCAACACGGAAGCCACTGCCTTTTATTGTGTAAACCTACGCTCAGAGGAAAGCATTATCCTTGGTCTAGGCCATTAGCAAGGTTTTAGAAACCATTAAGGGTCTCCAAGGAAGGTGAATGTGGAATATGGTAGGTGAGCGAGACCTCTGAAACTCCGGGTTTTATTCCAGAAACAGCTCTTCCACAAAGCATTCTTTACGTGCCAGCAACAGAGGCTCTGACAGCCCCGGGTGGTTCCTCGGGCAGAGCTCCAGCCCAGGGTCTGTTCGGTGTTTTCCCGTCCCCTGCGCGTCTCCCAGGCCCGCTGGTCCGTTGCCTCTTGCTCGCCTTTCCCAAAGTCCTTTTTTAGCTTTTTTTTTGGGGGGGGGGTCCGTCAAAGTGGGCGTCGATTTACATTTCCTTGTCATGTCCTTGGGTCCTCCAGAGTTAAGCGTATTTGTATAGAATTACTGGCTTTTAAAGATTCCTCTTTTCTGTTTTTTGCCTGTTTTAATATTTTTTTAAAAAAATTTATCGTTTGTTTTTTTCTTTAACACTCTGATTATGAAAACTTTGTACTTTTCTGTGTCCCTGTATTTTCTTCTATAATGGCACCGGTCTGTTACCTTGTAACTTCATGATATCTTTTGTTCTATAAAATCATAATCTTTATGGTTTGTTTTCCCCTTCACGTCTGCTGTGTTAGAAGCCCACAGACTAGCCTACCTTGGTTGGGATCCTGGGGATCCATTTACTAGTTCTGTGTCCCGGGGCAGGTTATCTGACTTCTCTGTATCTTTGCTTTCTCGTTTGCACCACAGGGCTCTTGTGAGGTTGTGAGGACTACATGAGTTGAATACATAAAGCCCTTGAATAGTGCCTGGCTGGTATCTCCCGACAGGGGTTTGCAATTGTTATTCTTATTGGGGCTATTAGTCTGCTTGCATTTTGTCTTCCTTTTGAGTAGTCCATCCATTTTCCAGTTAAAAAAAAAAAATGCCCCCTCTGTTATGAACCATACTGCTATACCTATGTGGGTCTGTTTCTAAGCTCTCTGTTCGGTCCCGTTGATCTATTGGTCTATTTCCAAAGCAATACTTTATTGTTGTTGTTTAAGATTTATCTACTTATTTGAGAGCGAGAGTCAGAGTGAGAGAGAGGGAGCATGAGAGCAGGGAGAGGGGCAGAGGGAAAAAGAATCCTCAAGAAGACTCCCTGCTGAGGGCAGAACCAGAGGTGGTCAATCCCAGGACCTTGAGATCATGACCTGAGCCGAAATCAGGCGTCCCATGCTTAACTGACTGAGCCGCCCAGGTGCCCCAATACTCTATTGTTTTAATTAGTATAGTTTATGATAAGTGTCTCCATCTGGTAGGACAAGACCCAATG